ATGTGAATTTGTTCCAAAGATGTTTGTAACGAGTTATAGGACTCATTTAAGCGGTTAATTTGTATCATTAAATTTTCTAACACATTAGAGAGTTGCGATGGTGTTGGTGAACTTGCTCTTGGTTGACTCATGTTTAATTCTTCGTCTGTTGTATAGGCAGGAAGTGGATTTCTATATTCGGTAAAACCTTTACCTGTAAATTCGATCCGGCTGTCCAGAGTGAATGTGGCTCTCGCAGTCCCTGCGGTAGTATGTCCTCGGATCACACGTCGGCAGTTTCTTCAATCTTGATTAGCTGTGTGGGTGCGTGCTTGATTGATGCTGAGGTTCAGTAAATAGTTGTGCAGCGTTGTGGTGTGAACGTGGATTTTATTACCGTAGGCGAAGAGTGTGACGAGCCGATGGTAAGAGTCGCGATTCGGGACAGCGAAACGATGGAAGAGAAAAACTAAGAAGTACTGACTGGTCTCGCTGTGTCTTGGCTCTGTTATTTATATTACGTCCCCCAAAAAGGCCACGCATTTTTTTGGGAGACTCGCTGTCTTCTTTTACCCCCGTTTAGTTTAGCGGGGGAGACAGCCATCGATGAACCCTCGCTGTAGGGGTGCGCTGGCCGTTCGGCCAGGCAGCGGTACGCGGCCGGCAGCTTTCTCCACGACCAGGCATGCAGTACATCTGGCAGTGATAAAAATATAAAGAAACAAAGGAATTTCCGGTTCTTGCAAACGTCAAGGACGTTTTCTCTCCGTCGACCCCTTGACATCTGCAAGCGGACAGTTTTATGGTTATTACGGTCGCCGGCCGTGTGCCGCTACAGAGGTAATCGCAATCGCTTTGGCGCGGCCAATAATTTAGTCGGCCGCGTTCCGAGAAGTCAAAGAATCGAATTGGCGGGGATCGGGGCGGCGGGAAAGGGGGCGAAAAATCAACGCGGATCGACAAAGGAGCGTAATTTCCATCGTGCCCGGGCGCCGCGCCACCGGAAGGGATTAAGGGGTGAAGCCGAGATGGAGGGTTAAATCGTCGAAACGCGTCGGAGCACAAAGGGAACGAGTGAAAGCCCGTTCCCGTAAACAGAGGGTCGGCGAGCGGCGCGCGAAGCGGGGCCGCGGGCCGGAGGGAGGGGGAACGGACGCGAGTCGTCGCGGCGCGGCCGGTGGGCGGGGGCCTGAAACGGGCGAAAGTGTCTTCATCGCGGGCACAAAGCGTCTCTCAGGATAAAATGCCATGATTAAAAACTCTCGCCCGCCTCTCGGACACGTGTTTGTACACACGCACGCTCGCCGAGACTCTCTCGCGCGCATTGTGCCAGCCTTTCAGCGCCGCCGTCAACATTCCCCGGGTTTTCACTCGAAATAAAAGCGAGGCGCCGGGAACGTGCAGGGAGGCGGCGTGAAAAAGGCTCCCACCGGTGCCAGGTGGGTGCCTCGAGCGAAACGGAGACAGGCGCATCGGCTCGGAAAGTACCAAATTTCGCGCGGGCGAAACGTCTTCTCGGAACGTCTCGGTTTTCTCGCGACCAGTCGATCTCGCGGATCTCGATCTCGTTTGGGTGTCGCGGTGTGTTGCGTTCGACGGAGACGGTGTTCGGATCGAGCCGCGGGGATACCATTGGCGAGAAAGGGGGAAGGGGGGCAGATTGTATCGCGGAACGCTCGAGAACACCGAAGAACGCCGCGAGTAATCGCGGAGCTGAATGGGCAAAGTTTAACGAGAACGAGTCTCTGCCGGGTATTCAAAGCCGCGGATATCTTTTAATTCCATTGGCTCCCGAGTTCTTTCCGCGACTATTACGCGGACCGAACCGCGTAATCCTTGTTTTGTTGACTAACCGTCTTCCCGCTGCGGCGATAACGGTGGACGATGCTGTACCGTTGTTAGCACCCGCATTATTGCCGCAGCTTCGCGGAGTTATCAACGCGAGAGGCCGGTAAATTCACATTTGCTCCATTGCTAGACATTTCTGGGTACTCTTATTTAACCGTGAATAACAGTTGAATGAACCGTTGGAGAAGAAGTTGGAGTTTTCTAGAAATCTTTTGTAGATACAGGGTGAACATTTTTACGATGTTAACAGTGGTACCGTAATAATTAGGCTGCGGATCTTTATGCAAGATGAGAAATGTTCCGAGACGTGTTTAATCGAGAGAAGTTAAACAAAAATAAATCGATTGTTTGATTGATCTCGATAAATTGAGAATAGCGGATCGATGTTATTACGTTCTTCTTATATCTCCATAATTTCATACTCGAGCTATTCGCTTCTCCATAGATGCATAGTATCCGCAGTTTAGTAATAATTTTTAATCGTGCCTCTAGTTCTGCGTCGTGCCTTGAAACAATTAGAATCTAACCCAATTCCTGGCTAATTAAAAGTCCGAGATGATTAAAAGTCCGCTAGAAACTTATGAAAATAGCATAGACATAGTTGCCGAAGTGACTAAAAATATGTACCAAAAATAGTTGTTTAGTCGCGAAACGCTGGTTCCGCGGGGTTAACGAGTGCGTATGGGGTCAACCGGATGTGTCACCGACGCGTTGTTATAATTGAATATAATAATCGAGGCGACTTTGCACGACGATAATTACTTATTATATTTAATTATTCCTCGGCGACGTTCGTTCGAATTACTGTAAGTTCTCTTTAATTGGCGTTCAGCTTCGAAACAAAAATGGACGATTTGGGAAGAGGAGATTCGACTATTTCAGTCTTACACCTCGTTTTTATAATTATTGACAATCGGCAATTATAATATTTCTAAACAGTCTAAAAAATGTCTGCATGATCCCAGAGGTCTCTATGAAATCTAAGAGCTATTATAAATTCTCCTCAGTGCTTCCAAAAAATTCTATCGACCCTCCATGCATCCCTAACGACCTCTATAAAATCCTCAAAGTCCTCTAAAGGATTCGAAGCGTTTCCATAGAACCCTAAAGATTCTTCGAAGATCCTAGAAAAATTTCGATGACTATCACAGGTCTCTAAAGACCACTATCGACCAATCGACGACTGTAAAAACGAGCCGCAGCGCTCGAATAATCGTCCCTTCTCTTCCCAAATTGTCCATTTTTGCTTCCAAGTTGAGAATTTACTGTAATTGGATAGCTAAAAGAAACGCGCCGCGATCCAAGTAGAAAAATATAGAAAAACATAAACGGAACCCTCAGTGCAGTCCTCCACTGTCCACAAATTTGTCCCGACGTTTCTTCGTCTCGTGCAAGGGTGACACATAATTTCGCCATGCTAAAAGAACTCGTAGTCGAATAGTTGCATGTCCGAATTAAAAAACAACGCGCCAATACGGCAACGTTTTTTGATTCTAGAAATAGGGCCGAGTTGCTTTCTCGATTTCCCGAACGAAATCCTTGCGCGTATTTCCTGTATCGTACCTGTGCACAATGACCGTTGTCGCGACTGCCTTCTAACAGGTTGTCCTGCAAAATCTGGGTCCTCGGATCCTGTTACAGTGTCGCAGACGCTAGCAATATCCTGTTGCTACTATGCTCCAGAGTTGCGGCTTCATTGGCTGATCGATGGCGCGCGCACACGGTGACCAGGCTTTAACAATGTCCACTGTGCGAGTCGTTGTCTGAGCTGTCTGATGAGGCTGTTTACGAAACCGTAGATCAATGATCCGAGTTCCCTCTACATTGACTGATCTCTCGAGCGCTGTCGAATCGGCACGGAACAAATTTAGACACCGATAGCTAAGACCAATTGAACCTCGGAGCTAGTAGACGCGGCCCCAATTATTGGGGCAACGATTAATTCGGATTCGGGTAAATTTAGCCTTGCTGGACCTGGTAGCAGCAATCGTTATTTTAATGTCCCTTTTTCGAGAGATACGTTGGTTGTCCCAACATCGGCTGTGTAAACGAGGAAGAGACGATTCTACGGAAAATATCGAATCGAAAATAAAGAACGAAATGTTTTTTCAGTCGATGCTTCGTTGTCGTGAAAATAAACTTTGAATATTCAGCGTTTTTAACAATTTCTGTATTAATAATGCACGCGAACTCGCTGAATATTCAAAGTCGACTTACCCGACAACGAGGCTTCGAACGAAAAATGAATGAAAAATGTTGTTGCTTGTTTTCGATTTGTTTTTTCACGTGGAGTCGCTCCCTTCTCGGTTGTACAACCGATGACGAGACACCCTGTATAATAAATCGTTGTTTGCCGAGGTGGTCGTTTTCTCGAGTTCGAAAATTCGAGATTTCTAGCTTTCGTAAAAATTCGGTATCGATTAATTCAGTTCTGAAGAAAAGGCGCTTATAATTGAGACCAATTGTTTCTTGCACCTGGTAGCAGCATCTCCGATCATTATTTTAACGTTTGGTAAATTAGAATTTGCTGAAATAGCCTTCCAAGATCGAAACCTAGAGGTTTCTTTCAATCCCTAGAATTAAAAAGTTAGATAGTTAATTTGATTATCAAGAAACTTTGGCAATTATTGTTGACATCGATTGATCTTTGCATCTGATAGAAGCATGCCTGATTACTTTGTATTCTTTGAAAATTTCTAAATCGAATTTGCTCAACCAACCAGTTTTTTGAGCTCGAAATCCAAAGAATCCTTTCAGTCTCAAAAATTCGAAACGTCTCAATTCATTCGGTTTCGAAAACAATTCAAGTACTCGCAGTCGAAACCGATCTTTGGACCTGATAGAGCCATCCCTGATCACGATATTAATGTGTCTTTTAATCTAGAGATTTGTAGATTTGTTCAAGTGTTTTGTGAGTTCGAGATCTAGGGACACCTTTCAGCGACCAAGCCGAAACAGGTCCCATCGATCATCGGAAGGAGGAACGCCGTCGGAGACAGATGGTCCAACCGGTGGCCAGGGCCTCGGCGAAGCAAATAAAGTTTTTCTTCGAGCGAATAAACCACTTTCGACAGAGTTTTGATGTGTTTTTCATTGCCCAGCCCGTTGTTCCCGGCGCGTTTTATTCCTCCAGCGGCGGAAGGGGTCGTCCCGTTTCAGCAATAACGATTCCGTTAGGCGCATTAACGTTCTGTTTATTTGTCCCTAAAGTTTTTCTCTCATATAACGAATCAACTGTGACGCAAGCATGCCATAGCGCGCGCGCGCAGCCCCGCTTTCTCGTCCGAATCGCGTGAACCGTTTGGAGGCTGCTGCTGGTCCTCCGATTTTACGCCGTCGCGTAGATCGCTGTGAATTTCGTGTTAGCAAGGTCGCGGGGCTGGGGCGGCGACGACGGTTAAAAATACGTAAACCGTTAAAAATATATCATCGAGTATATCGGTCGTAAGAAAACTGGAGGAGATTACAGTGAGTAATAAGACGGAACGGCTAAAGTAACGATCAACCGTGGGAGTCGGTACAGATTTCATGATTTTCGCAAGGCAACGGTTGCGGATCGATCTGCTGGGAACACGTGCAAGCAGGTAAGTGAGCCGTCGATCGATCGATCGATCGATCCAGGGAGGAACCATCGCGCGAGTTAATTACTAGGACGCTTATCGTTAATTAATCGACCGTTAATCAACCCTGCGGCGTGTCTCGTGCGTGCGTGTACGTCCGCGTGCACGTGCTCCCTGTACAAAAGGCGCGCCGAGAGACTGTCGTAGAAAAGTCCTTCTGCTGGTTTCGCGATGCTTTATCTCTCTCACCTCGATGAGACAATTTTTCTCCTCGCGAGAAAGCCGCGTTTCTCTTCTCGCGTTTCACGCGTTCTTTAGCTCGTACTTTGCGCTGGTTCGGTACGGTAGACTGCGGAACGTCGCGCGAACGTTAATTAATCGTAGCTCTGCCGACTTCCGAACGAACGTGAAAGAGCTGTTCACGAAACAGCGAACAATTTCCGATGCACGAGGTCCGCAGTCTATTCGTCGTTGTTCGAGACAACAGCTTTTGTTCGAAATCGTCGTGTCCGAATTCTCTGTCGCTAATGTCCCAAATAATAAATTAACGAGTACAAGAATTTATTACGTCGCTGGAGCACGTCCAGGCCCGATGATTCTCTGAAAGATCGTCAATGTTACAACCGCGAAATCGTTTGTCGCGCCGTTCTAGATCGTGTAGAGCGATCCGGTGATTTCGGTCCCGGCCGAGCGACAAGATGGCGGATCGGCGACTTAGGAGATTCGGGGATTTCGGGAGCCACGGCTCCGTCGATCGTTTCTCCCGCGGGATCCAGGCTTCTTACAGGAAGGTGCTCCAGTAGACGACGTTCAGGATCAAGAAGGAGAACGGGAAGAAGAATCTGGAGAACTTGTCGATGTAGATCGCGGTCGCACGACCCTCGCAGCACGTGTCGTATTGCACCGTCGCTGGCCTCACGGGACTTCTGCTTCTCTCCGATTCGTTCCTCATCGGCGTCTGCGACAAAAATGCAAATTATTTCTCTGAAATCCATTCTTCGAGACCCGTCGCTAATTTACGATATTCGTCCGACTCTTAACCGGTCCGCCGATTACTGCCAGTTATTGTTTCGGTAAATATTTTATATTTTCAAATTGGGTGCAAGTGTATTTACATCGGAACATTGCAAACTCGATGAGATAACAGAGGATTACATGAATTTTTCAATAACTATATTAACGTATATTAATGATAATTTAAAGTTGCGAGTGATCGCCGCGGTCACCATAATCCGGTTAAGGGTTAAACAATATCGAATTATTTAGCGATAAATTGATTGCGGATTTTATGACCAAACTGCGCGGATGAATTGCGAAATTATGAAAACATAAGGGAAGTTTACACAACTATTTTGATTGTATAAAATTGATCAAGTAGTAGGAATTAATATCTCAACAATTTTGCCCCTTGTAATCGGTGCAGACCTATTCGATTGTAACAATTCCTTCGAAGAAGAACAAAATTGGTATTTGTTGCGTGCTTATATTTACTGTTACTTTTATTATTATTATTATTCATTTCCAGGCATTTGGACTTTGTTCAATCATAGAAACTAAGTACAGATAATCAAAAAAATAAATAAATAAATAAACATTACAAGTACAATATCTGATAATAAATATAGTGGAATTAGTAAAATGTCTCAGAGTGCTTCCGAAAAATTTTTGCTCACTGACCACTGACCACTGACTACGTCAGAACCTTGACATATTTGTATGTATTTATATTACATAACATAAATTTTTATGAACCTGTGTTTCGAATAAAAATTAGTCATTTTCTAAAAAACTGCAATACTAAATGTTGATAAAAGATTTTTTCGTTCAACAGAAAAAAAACAAAATCGTTACAATTTTTGTAACATAACTGTATATTATTTATGTACAAATCGATTCACCTTTGTATTCCCCTTAAAAAATTATTAATGCACTTAGGTCGAAAATTAATTCAATTAGAAGTTACGATTATTGTCCCGAACGCCCATAAGATCGCGTCATTGTGCGCCGCGCCGCCTCGAATTAAAGTTAGATTAAAATCTCCGTCAGCCGGCTCGTTTTTTATTCGTGTCACGCGACACAATCTTTGTGCCGGGACCCCTCGTGCACCGGTTCCCGTAGTAAAATTCGAAGTTCCGGGCGCGTTAAACGCGAACTTCCGTCGAAGTTTCGCTCGCCGTTTTCCCTTGCGGGACCCGTAAAACCTCGACATTCCATCGTTCCTCGAGCCGACGACTTTCGACTTCTATCGCGTCGATATTAACGACCGGAAGTGGGGCCGACGTCGTCGCGAAGTTTCCGCGGAGTTTCTCTGTTCTTTAGAGCCCCGGGACTTCCGCAAGTTCCCTCATTTCGACTAGGGAAATGTTTGTTCGAGTGAGAAAGGCGCCGTTTTCGCGACTCCGCCCGTTACTTTGTAAACCATGCACAGTACCATTACGCTTTGCTTCCTGTCTGCGGAATCGTGTTACCCCGTAGACACCTTGCGATAGTATCGGAGGCTGCCAAAAAATTTTAGAGCACTTCATTTTGTCGAGCAGAATGGTTTACGTTAAACGAAGATGATATTGCTTGAGGGAAAGAGAAGAATTAGTTTCGTTGCTCGAAACTGTAATTTTATGTTAAATAGATACAGGTTTCCTATAAATATCGTTCATTTATTTGCAACAAAAATATTTGTAGTCATATTTATATTTAATTTGAAAATAAAAAATTGAATTTGAAATTAAAAATTGAATGATATAAATAATCATTGGAGATTAACCACTTGCACCGATGTATGTATTAATTTTTAAAGAAATACATACTCATATCAAATTAGAAAATTCAATTAAATCTTGTGAATAACTATTGAGGTGAATTTGATTTACGAAAGGATGAGTTAGATTTGTAGAAAGATAAATGAGATCTTCGGAAGGAATAATTTTGAGTGCATAAAAGTGAATATTAACTACAGAAAGAGAATCGTTAGGGAGTTTAAAACCTGTAAACACAGTTTGATTTCAATTTTATTTAAAATCATAAATTGTGTGTCCAATCTTTCCGAAATGAATCGATATACGTGCATGGATACATTGGAAAGGTGCTGATGTTTTTACTGTGGGTCATTAAATCATGTTACCGTTCGCGTGATACGGCGAACATAACCACCGAATAGATGGACCAATACCGATTCAGCTTTCGGATATTAAATAACAATTGATCGCGATACCTCGATTCGTACAACAATGCCCATAATAAAACAGCATCGTAGTTAGAAGGTGCTCAACGTAAAATGGAATTATGGAAGCGACTGAACAGAAACTCCCACTCATTAATAAACGCAATCGAGCGTCGAAGCACGAAACAATCGCGGCAGAAATTTCTCTATATATTTTCTCCGACCCTCTCAGCGTTCTCTCGAAGAACACTCGTTCTCGTCGATTAATCGCCGGCCCGCGTTACGAAAATAATGCAACTTTCAGCGTTTCAACTTCACGAAACCTGCGAGGCAAGAGGCACGCTTCTCGTTTCGTATTTTTCGAGGCGGCACTTCCGGCGAATCGGAGTGGCTTCTCGTCGGTTAAAAGCCGAAACGGAATCCGCGATCCGCATCGCAGAGGCACGCGTAAACCGCGAGCAATCTGTTTGCCCGTGTTACCAAATATTCCCGCGTTTACCCGGGAATTTACACGACCTGGAGCATGAAGAATTCAAAGGCGAACGCGAGCGGCACGCCGTTAATTGGGCATCGGGCCCCTTTACGAACGTCAAACGCTTCTAGATAAATATTAACGTGTTAATAGCGGCTTTGATTGCGGGAATATTTATTCCCGCGGGAATACCGACCGCGGCACCGCCTTCCCTTTCACTTATCACTGCGCGCGTTTCTAACCGCGTCGAAACCGCAGAACTCTGCCCGAACCTCGATCTATTACGTCGAGTCAGACAAATTGCTGAACGTTATTTACCCGGCTCCGCGAGGCTCCTGCGAATATGTTTGGCGACCGAATGACCGGGGATAAATTTCTGAAATTTTGGGACATTTAGAAGGTCCTTTGCGAAGTCCGTAGAAATATTATCCGCTCGGACGATTCAGTTTTTAATAAATCATGTTGATCTGTGCCTCTTTTCTTGCTTCTTCCATCGAGGAAATATCTCGCGCTTTTGGCCACTTTTATTAACGAAACGGCCGAGCATAAGTCTACGAAATTTTTACAACGATTAGACAGTGGTTTGAAATATACCTAGAAAAATGTTCGCTTCAAAAAATTCATTTCCAACGAAGTACGACCATTTCATCCGGAACCTCGTTCTTTCGATAGAAATCGATCGTCTCGTTTCGATCGCAGACTCTAGACAACGATGAAATTGCGAACGAGTGACGACGAACGTCGAGCCCGTCGACGAGCATTTTATTGTTAATTTCGGCGACGATATAACCACGGTAGAATTCGGTTCGAAGCCATGATCCGCGAACGTTCCGCAAAATTTCGAGTTTTCAATTTCGTCCAGCGCCGCGCGTTGTTTGATCTTCAAAGTCTTCGCGCCGGTGAAATCGCAAGAGTTCATAGCTCGGATGTGTTAATTAAACTTGTCGCGCGTTTAAGCCGGCGGTGTCGGTGTCCTAACTGTGTCAGGTGTTATTAGAGCTTCAGCTGTACCGGGTGGCCGCGAATTCCGGCGCCCTAAACCGCGTCCCTCCCGGTCACCGGTGCGGCAGAATCGTCGAACAAATTCGTTTCGTTCGCGCGCAACGACGAGAGAGTTAGAGCCACGCTCTGTATCTTCTGCAGCGGACTGCACATTTTTCTCGGCCCGTGCCGCCGACGGAATCCGACCGCTGTGTAACCATCAATTTTTTAGCGGCCGCCGTTGCTCGCGGACGCGGAAACCGCCGGTTATTTATTTATTGCCGCGGACCGTGCGCGCGACGCTTCGAAACATTTAGCCGGCTCCGCTAATTGTAAGTTCGAGATGCATTATTCTCTGGTTGAATGCGAGACGAACTTCCCCCCGGACTCGGCCGCTCCATGAATTATGCCCGGCTCCGGCCAAAATGGACCGGTCTCTCCCTTTCGGAGACATTCCGTATTTTTACCCACCTCTATCGCGGTCACCACCGGCTGAAAATACGCCAGCGACTACCGGTCTGCTCCACGGGACGTTTCCGACGGTAATTAACGAGGTCGCGGATTTACCGCGAATTTCGGACACGGAAAACCCCAATTTTTGCCCGTTCTGTCACTCCGATCGTCTTCCATCGTTATTATTTGTCATTGAAAATCACTGTTCAGTCGTGTGAAAGTAAGCGCAATGTGTACAGTAAATTCTTCCTAATTGATCCTCAGCTTGGAAACAAAAATGGACAATTTGGGAAGAGGAGGTACGATTATTCGAGCCTCGCGGCTCGTTTTTATAGTCGATCGATAGTGGTCTTCAGGGTTCTATGGGAACGCTTCGAATCCTTTAGAGGACTTTGAGGATTTTATAGAAGTCGTTAGGAATGCATGGAGCGTCGATAGAATTTTTTGGAAGCACTGAGGAGTCTTTACAGCGGCACTAAGATTTTATAGAGACTTCTGGGGACATGTAGACAATTTTTAGACCTTTTAGAAATACAGCAATGTCTCCATAATTGACGTTCAGATTCTGCACATAAATGGACAATTTGGGAAGAGGAGGTACGATTATTCGAGCATCACGGATCGTATTTATAGTCGATCGATAGTGGTCTTTAGAGATCTGTGATAGATATCGAACATTTTCTAGGATCTTTGAAGAATCTTCAGGGTTCTATGGGAACGCTTCGAATCCTTTAGAGGACTTTGAGGATTTTATAGAAGTCGTTAGGAATGCATGGAGCGTCGATAGAATTTTTTGGAAGCACTGAGGAGTCTTTACAGTGGCACTAAGATTTTATAGAGACTTCTGGGGACATGTAGACAATTTTTAGACCTTTTAGAAATACAGCAATGTCTCCATAATTGACGTTCAGATTCTGCACATAAATGGACAATTTGGGAAGAGGAGGTACGATTATTCGAGCCTCGCGGCTCGTTTTTATAGTCGATCGATAGTGGTCTTCAGGGTTCTATGGGAACGCTTCGAATCCTTTAGAGGACTTTGAGGATTTTATAGAAGTCGTTAGGAATGCATGGAGCGTCGATAGAATTTTTTGGAAGCACTGAGGAGTCTTTACAATGGCTCTAAGATTTTATAGAGACTTCTGGGGACATGTAGACAATTTTTAGACTTTTTAGAAATACAGCAATGTCTCCCTAATTGACGCTCAGATTCTGCACATAAATGGACAATTTGGGAAGAGGAGATACGATTATTCGAGTCTTGCAGCTCGTTTTTACAGTTGTTGACAATCGATAACCATAAAAACCGAGCCACAAAGTTTGAACAATCGTATCTCCTCTTCCTAAATTGCCCATTTTTGTGCAGAATCTGAGCGTCAATTAGAGAGACATTACTGTACAGTGAATTCTCTCCACTTGTCCCTCAGCTTGTAAACAAAAATGGACAATTTGGGAAGAGAGCTTTTATAATTGTTGACAATCGGCATCTATAAAAATGAGCCGCGGGGTTCGAATAATCGTATCTTCTCTTCCAAAATTGTCCATTTTTGCTTACGAACTAAAGGAAAATTTAGGGAGAATTTACTGTGAATAGCGAAATGAGAGCTTCAATATTTCCTCCGCGATTTTGACGTACCGCAATTGTTTCCCGAATTGAATTTTCGTATGTCCTAAATTTCCTATACATATTTCCTAAATTTCCTGTGCCCATCGTCTAACAAACTATTCCTCCTAACGTCGTAAAAAGGAACCGAAGTCGTTTGCTCATGCGGAATTCGAACATGAATGCGATCGTGAATAAGAAGAGAGGATCTCACTTTGAACTCGTCAATGGCCTCCCTGAGATCCTCGTCGGAGTATCCCTTCATGGCCTTGGTGGCGACCGGGCCCATGTAGTTGTTGACAACGGCGAATTCCATCAGCGAGAGGAAAACGAACACGCTACACGAGGACATCCACACGTCGATGGCCTTCACGTAGGAGACCGGCGGCAGTGATTGCTGGGACTGCGTGTTCTGAGTCGCTGCGGGCAAACGGAAGCGTTTCTCGGTCAATGGATGGTCGGCATAGCGTTCGTTCGTTCGTTCGTTCGTCAGGTTCTTCGATTCGCATGCGAGATCGCTCTGACCCGTGCTAATATTGAATCCTTGTCGCACGGTTCACCGGGTCTCGGTGTCTGATTCACCTCCGGTTGCGTCACCACCGCATTGCTGCTCCCGTCGACTAACAAGTTACCCTAAACGCAAATTCTCGAACCACCGATCATCCATTTTACGTCATTCGCAAAAAGTTACTCGGGGATCTGGCTCTACAAACTATTTCTGCAAGAGATGTTTTCGTAGCGGATTCATCGATGTTGCGCTCTTGTGAAATTTACACGATTTTTAGCAATAATCATTTGCCAGCATTGCATAAAATATTTCAGATAATTTTAGACATTTTTATTTGGGTACCTGGCTTTAAAAACTGTTCCTTCAAGAGCTGTTTCAATATTAGTTCCATCGATGATGCATTTTTATGCAGTATACTGATCGTACTTGCTGATTGGCATTGTATAAATTGAGAATTGATTTTATAAATTTTTCTTTGGGTATCCGCGTCGAGGAAATGTTTCTCTGAAACTTAGATTTTGTTGCTTTCAATTTAAGATCATCGATGATGTAATTTTATGAAGCATTCTGTCTGTACTCGATAATCAACGTACCATCTGCTTTTTCCTTCCTGCAAAAATAATAATCTTCTAGCATTGTCTAGCACTCGTTTTACAAATATTCGAGACCGTTTAAATTACACTTTTAATTTGTCGATTCATAAATAAAAAATGTCGACATACATCGACACGTTCGTCACACGATCGTCGCTACGTCACCCGCATCTGGATGACGGGTATGCTTCCGTGGGTGCCCCGTCACCCATAAGTGGGTAACGCTCTTTTTCGTCTAGCAAAATGGAACTTTAAGAGCAATTTATAAAAATTTCATTCGTAACAGAAATATTTACTGGAAATAGCGTATGCAATCCACAAATCGTCATTCACAATTTCTGAACTTTCGTGCAACGAATTGCATCTTATCGCTATTTCAGCTAATCGCTTACGCTTCGACAGCGAGTTTTCGCCCCGATCGAGAAGCTCGACCGATTCGCGCTTGGCGACGAACGTGTTAACAAAGCCACGAAGAACAACCGATCGATCGTCAATCACCGATTTCAAGTACCAAGCTCCAATCCCCTAAATACGTTCTCGCGAGGGACGCTAGGCTGCAGAACTGCAATACTGCAAAGCTGCGGAACCGTATTGGTCGGTGCATCGAAGAATGCGTCCCATTCAGGAAAGTCGAGGAGTAGCATTTTCCCGATGCACTTTTCAGGAAACGGTGCATCTCAAAGCATTCCATTTTGCTTTACAACTTTTTCTACCACCCGGAGCCTTTTTGCAGCTTGTCCTATTTGCATGGATCAGCCTGTAGACCGTCGCATGAATGGGATACGTGCGATACAATGGAGGATAGAGAGAAAGAGAGAGAGAAAGAGAGAGAGAGAGTCGATAGAGAAGCAGGAAGGAAGCAGAAAGCAAGCGGGAGACGGGTTCCTTGAAACCGATCAAAAGACAGCTCGTTATCCCGTCGTCTCGCAAAACGAACGCGTTCCGTCGCCCCACCCCCTCTCGACTGAAGAACAGCTGGGCCCGCCCCCGAAATGGCGAGCCTGTCCAGAATGCAGTCGCAGGCACGTCGACCTTACCGAGGGTCAGCAGTGACGTCATGCCGGAGGGTGACCCGGGCCGGGATCGCCGCGGGTTTGATCCAGATCGCGCGATCCAGGACATGAACGAGGACGGCGTGTTTCTGTGTCGGTGTCTGCGCACGTGCGCGTGCACGTATCCGCGCGTGCATGTGTTCCGGTGGAACAGGTGATAGACCGGTCGACCGTGATTTAATCACCTAAATCAGGCTATCTAAACACACTATAAAGTGTTCTTAACACAGTGGCTCGCCTATACATCCTTGACTCAATTTCGGGCTCGGTGGTACACGTGCATCTTTGCCCGTGATGGGCTTCCCAAAATACGCTCGGCTGGATCCAGCGATATTCAACCCTGCGATCCTCGAGAAATATAAAGAAAAATTGATAACCCGTGCTAATTCATTCTTTAACAAATTACGGCAACTTGTTCGACAATTTTGTTCGTTTTTCGTCGCTCTTAGAGGACTCGATGGTTCGAGGAAAGGTTTTGAGAAATTTGAACGATAAAATCGACTCGATATAAATCTACGAAATTTCTACCACATTTAGACGGTGGTTTTGAGATCGCGCAGAAGAATTTTCAACCCGAAATATCAATTTTTCAATAAAATTCTAAAAGACTTGCGATCGCCGGAAATATCACTGTAATAATTGAACTGCGGATTTTGATGCGAAATAAAAATTTTGTTCGGCAACTGTATGAAACGAGAGTTGATTAACAACGTGTAATTCTTCGTTTACTAGTTTTCGATCGATTGAAAATTCTGTACGAATGCAGTTAAATATCAATTTTTCAATAAAATTCTAAAACACTTGCGATCCCCGGAAATATCACTGTAATAATTGAACTGCGGCTTTTTATGCGAAATAAAAATTTTGTTCGGCAACTGTATGAAACACGAGTCGAATAGCAACGTAATTCTTCGTTCGACAGTTTTCAATCGATCGAAAATTCTGTACGAATGCAGATAAATTCTTCTAATGTTGTCACGTTCCTGCGTTTCTCTTAGCAATTTTTGCAATAAACGCATGGATTTCGATCCACAGTCCGCGATGCGACGAAATATTGAAATCGATATAACCGCACGATTTCTTGCAAAAATGATTTTCGAATCCGGTTCGGTCCTCGAGAGAGCTGCGAATTCTAGTCGTCGAACTCTGGACGACGCTGTTACGTAAAAATTGTCGGTCTCGCCACTTCCGGAAGCCGTCGCTAAACTAGCGGGCCTGTTCCTGTCCCAGCGTTAATTAGCGAAATTGTTAGTCGGGATTCCCTCGATTTTTCGCAGTTCGCTCGGACCCGGCATTGGGACGGGCGGCGGGACGGGGCGTCGCGTTTCACGGGCTAATTAATTTTCTGAATTTACCGAGGGTGAGCAGGGAGGTGACGCCCAGGGTGACTCGGGCCGGGATCGCCTCGGGCTTGATCCAGAACGCGATCCAGGACATGACCACGATCAGGGCGGACGGTATGTACGTGTGGAACAGGTGATAGCCGAGCCGGCGCCGCAGATTGAACACGATCTGTATGCACGTGAAGTTCCCGGTGGAGTACTCGATCGTGCAGTCGGTCGTGTAATTGTTCGAGATGTCGAGCTGCGGCAGCTCGATCTCCGGGTTCACCACCAGCGGGTCCGTCATGTTCCAGATGAACACCAGGTCCTGGGTCGTGTGTGACACTGAAACCGAGAGCAATTTCACGCGTCACCACCCCCGGCCCGCAAAACGGGCACGCGTTAATCCCTCGCCGACCGGCTCCTTATCTCCTACGCCCCTAACCGCGGGGCTTAACCTTCGCTTTCGAGCGGAACTGGTGTCAACGGCGGCGCAACAGGGACCCGGGCAATCCGAATTCGACGGAGGACGAACGATTCCCCCGGAGGGGACTCGCGAATTTCGACGGGCGCTCTCGCGGATTTTCAGCGCTCAGTAGTCGGAAGATTTTTTTTATATTCAGCCGGGGACTAATATGTGTGGACACCCTTTAAAACTGGACTGAATAATGATTTCGTTTTAGATGACAGAAGGACTGGTATATTACACAGTGGCTGTATTACTTTTCTTTTAATTTCGCTGTTACTTGGAATCACAAAAAAGATATAAAAAACTGTATATGTAGTATGTATAGTATGTATAGTGTATAGACACACACAGTATATACACACACAGTTCTTTAGAACTGTTTTACCTTGTTAAAAAAGATCAGCATATATATACACAGACAAAAAAAAAATAAAAAAAATATATATACAGTTTTTTTCATCTTTTTTGTGATTCCAAGTAGCAGCGAAATTAAAAGAAGAGTATTATATCTATTGTGCAACAGGCTAGTCCTTCTGTCATCTAAAAAATATTCACGTCATTTAAGCCTAGCTTTAAAATGAATATTTTTATGGGTTATTATGGGTTATTGTATATACATACTCTACGTATTTCTTCATTAATATCTCCCTAAAATATTGATTCGCCCATCGTATCTCTCTCATACACGTATAAATATGAATCTATAAACGCATTCTCGCTAATTCGAACAGAAGATTTAGTATCTCACAAAGATCTTCATAAAACATAAACTATAAAAATGATTAAACCGTCTGTGTATGATCGACAACTTCTATGATACAAAAGTCAGATCAATTCAAATCGGAAACAATTTCATTTATCTCTAAGTTAAAATAATGTTTTTTATCTTCTAAGTTAACACAAAAAACAACATAAATTTTCCGAACACCTTAACATGTTTCTGTTTCGACAACGTTAGTGTAAATTTTCTCTATGGTCAATGTTTGAGATCGAAAACTTTTTTGCCAGGATACCGTGACAGAATGGCATACAATATTTCGGCTTTGCGGCGTTAGAATAGTGACAGCCTAACCGGTACCGGTAATTTGTCATAATTTCGTTGAACGGCGTGTACATTGGCGTAGATCAACGTTAACCAGAAATTGATACAAACGCGACCCGACGGCCGAGCACCGATTAAATCTGACTTTAATGAATTCGCGCGGCCCGGATTTGCGGGGGTGGAATTCATGGGAACCGCGGTAATATTTTGAGAGGTACGGCTCGAATTCGCCGATTTCTGGGGATCGATATACGTACGGCTCTCGATCATCATCGAGCAGATCTGCGTGTCGTGCGGATAGGACTCGAACTTCATCGCGCAAGACAGCACCAAGGTCAGTCTGAAAGAAGAAACGATCGTTGCATTGCTAATATTTGGTAGCACATTAGGTAGATATTTCAATTTTTATTTTACATCGTTGCAGACTTCTTTCTACTACGAACCGTCTCCGAAACTTCGCAAGGGTTCCATAAAATTGCTTGTCAAAATTTGGAATAGCAATTTGATCGTATTTGAATATGCATGCAAATTATTAGATTGTATATCTAGGCCGCGGATATTATGCATTTTTAATAAAAGTAGGCGGGTGTAAAACCAACGAAAATATTGAGAGAATTTAAAGAAATTTATGTGTAATTTTCAACTCATTCCTATTATTAACCCTTTGTCCTATAATATGATGTCATGTTATTAAATCCAAATAAAATTCTACCGTTCTATTATTAAATATTTAAACATTGAAGTAATGTTCGGCAAACAATGAATATGAATGATCTGCCTCGCGTAGGAATTGATTAGTGACAAAGAAGTGTTAACGCTATATTTACAGAACCTGTCAAAATGACGGGACACTAATTTTTTAATTTACCATTATTCATATCGTAAAGATACATTTATGAATTATATATACAATTAAATTAAAAATCAGAATAAACGTCTTACTGTTACTTTTATAAATTAATATAAAACAACTGTTTTTTGTGTGCTCCGTAAATCTAGCGTTAATTAGGAGAAAAGTAGAAAATTTCTATTCGACTCGTGTTTGTTGCAATTAATGACAGTAATATTTCTTTTTGCATAAAGATCTGCAGTGTAGCGTAACGCGAACGGTTTCCCAGAAAAGAACTAGGTCCCCCCTCCCAGAAGAGAAGCAGGCTTCCCGAAAAAAGGCCGGTAACAATGAAATGCTAATGACCCGTTAAATGCCGTGAAACGCTCTCAATTTGGCAGGTATTATGTGAAGAGGCCGGTATACGTATTGCAGATACGGCGGAGCCCGGGAAAATTGCATTTTTTCACATTAATCAAGGGGGACGCTTACTTTGACATGTAAAGCAGAGTCTTGTCGTGGTAGAGCCAGAGATAATGGTTCGGTATCGACATCTCGTGGAAGGTGACCTTCTTCGCGTTCTTGAAGAAGCAGTCCGGCCTCCAGATATTGTGCAGCCAGTCCACGTCCAGTATCCTGTATTCCTCGGACATGTTCTCCGGAAGTCGGAGCCTAGAGTCCCGCCAACTTTGAGCCAGAAATATGTCGGCGACGTACGTCTGCAACACAGTCGACGCTGTCACTGCACTCGTGCGCGTTGCAGCTGTCACTAGACGCGGCATCTACCAGTATATTGCATTTCTAGCTTTCATTCGTATCACTTATTCATACCTTTCATTTTTATATCTCGTTTTGCACCTTTCGTTTGTATATTTCGGCTGCACCTTTCATTTGTATATTTTATTTGCACCTTTCATTTGTATATTTTATTTGCACCTTTCATTTGAATATTTTATTTGCACCTTTCATTTTCGTATTTCACTTGCACCATCCACTCACGCATATATTTCATTTGCACTTTCCATTCGTACATTTCCTTTGCAGCTTATATTTTAATATTTTATTCAGAGATTCGATTTTATCGCATAAAACAAAGTTCTATTTGCACATTTCATTTTTATATTTTATTCTCATATTATATTTAAGTTCGTGAAAGTGTCTGTGAAATGTCTATCGACATTTAAAAAAATTACGCTCGCATCGAAACGCACAGAGTCTACGGATAGCAAATTAATAGATGAATTATTCGTTGAAATTGAGATTTCGTTGGAAGACTGCTGATATAAAAATTTGTAGTGTAATTAACGCGACGTTCGTGATTAATTATTTCCAAGATAAAATAGTTGCATCGTTCTATCGATCGTTTTTCGCAGCCCGCAGCTGGCACAGTCTTAATTTCCAGCGCCGCGCCGTCGTTGGACGGTTCGCACCCTCTTTCTCATTTTTGCCCGCGGCGTTATTTAGTTTTAATTGCCACCGGCGTTAACAAAAAGTTCCTCACCGGCGGAGACTTAAGCTAAAAGCGCCTAAAAAGCGTTCACCGAACGGCGGTCTTCTAATTTGCATTCGCATTAGCGCGTTTCCGGCTGGTTTCACGGGGCTCTACGCTCTGAAAACGCTTCCGCGAACGAGATTACCGTATTCCGAGAGCTTCATTTTTCTTTATCTCCCCGTCGCGGCGACTCGCCGTGGTAAAAGAATAACCGGCATGATAAATATGTGCTTGTAAATCGTACCGCGCGGACAAAAACGTTCTTAACTCCGCGGAATTTTTATGGACGTTGCATCGGCAAACTTCCGCGGGATTGTTTGCGGCCCGCATTTTTCAAGATTTTCGACCATTCTCGCCCGCGCACATCCACAAACACTTTATCAACTTATCAACCGTAAGTTATAGCCGCGGATCCGCAAAACACGAACCTCATTGTTTTTAAGAAGGCTGGGTATATAAATCGCGCTGGCTTTAAAGTTCGCGTCTTCTGTTCCGCGCTTTTTGAAATCCTCGGAGACTTTGTTCTTCTATTTTTTTTCATCGTTTGAACAAGGAAACGCGTTTCTTCCTGATCAAATTCTCTTTCGAATTACATCTTTCGTTGCAGACTCGAATAATAAATCGGGCCAAAAAGTTTGGAATCGCTACGAATTTCGAGGAAAACAGGATGCATTAAATGTACTCTGAACTCTTTCTTGTATGATATCTTCGATTTACTTGCAATATTTCGCAACGAATATACTTCCTTTCTATATATATAACAGTGGTAATAGCATTTCTACTTTCAACGCTAATTTGTATCGTTCTTGTCGTTCTTAAGTATTTCAGCACAATTTTCACTGTTGATCTCGGTTGATTGCCTTCGTGAACGGGAATGATAACAATGTATGGCAAATTTGGCTTTTATAAGTCTAATATTGTAATACTAAACTCTGATTGGAGAAACAAGAGAGCTAAATAGCTCTGTATAATGTGAGAACAGATTGTCATTTTATGTGATAGGGAATTTCACGTTTAACATTTTACTTGAGAAATTGGGATTATAATTTATACAAGAGTATTTTCAATGCAACAATATACTTAAATTTTTAAAAATTTGTGCATTCTTGTTAATTCCTAGTATACTAGCAGTGCATCAGTGCAGAATATATAAGAATATTCGATTTTGATAGAAATCTGCAAGCGATTCCAAACTTTTGACCGGAAATGGGTGTCCCAAAATTATGGTATTTGCGGGAAATGAGGGGTTCCTGAGGTCATTTGAAGTAACTTTTTCCTCAGCGAAAATGCAATCCGCGGCTTCGTTTACGAGTTATTAACGAAAAACCGTAACCAATGAGAGACGAGCTTGGCTGGCGCAATGCGGACGAAGCCGAGTTGCATTCATTGGCTCGGTCGCCGCGCCAGCTGATCTCGACTCTCATTGGTCAGCGTTTTTCATTAATAACTTGTTAGCGAAGCCGCGGATTGCATTTTCGCTAAGGAAAAAGTTACTTGAAATGATCTCAGGAACCCCTCGTTTCCTGGAAGTACCATAATTTTTGAATGCCCTGCATACTGCAACAAATTACAGACAAGTATCGTTGTTCATCTCTTCTGTGAGAAATTGAATGTATAAATAATTTTAAAGCTCCAGACTTTCAAGTTTTTAGGAATGGGCAGTAGTAAACGATTTAGCGTTTTCTTTTAGATAAGCATAAAAATTATATTTTCATATCGACCCAATCTTGTGCACACGATATTAACGGATTGCTGATTTTGGAGCATCAGTACGACACGCAATTGAATCTAATAGTTCCTGTCAAACGGACAATAATGAACGATACAGCATTTCCTTCTTGACGAGCATGAAAATTGCATTTTAATGTCGACCCAATTACACGCACACGGTATTAATGCAATGCTGGCTTGATTTAGGTTAAAGAGCACACCGAATTACCATGGACTCTTCGTTTATGGAGTCTAGGCTGAGCACCGTCACGTGGAAGTAAACAATGGTCGGCTGTCCCAGGAACTTCGGCGCCCTGTGCTTGTCATACTGCTTCGGGTTCAAGGGCAGGATGTCCCTCAGCGACAGAGAGGCCTCCTTTCTGCCATACTCTTCGAGGTCCGACTCCCTGAAAGAAAGCAGACGCGAGGAGAAACAAGCCTGACCACGGAACCCGCGCAATTCTCCCTGCGTTTTCGACACAGAAACCCTCATAGAAACCTCATAGAACCTCACCTAACACCGATTAATCAACATTTATCGTGCATTATCATCGATAAACCGAGGCTAAAATGAATTTTCGTTTGCAGGTCAAGCCGAGATCGAGAATGTAAAATCGAGAATGGAGGACGAGGTAAAAAGAGCCGCAACACTTTCAAAGTTTGACGACCTTTCACCGACGTCGCGCATCACCTAAACGTATTAGCTGCTCGTTTATGTATAGAATGCGGTATTCGTGTTGTAAAATGCGCCACAGCGGATCAGCTGGCCTGCCAGCGATATCTCGTTCCGTCCTCCCTGTTTTATTCAATTCCATCAGCCTTTACCGTCCACTTCAGACAGTGGCCGCCTTTCTTCGTGCATAAAACAACGTCGGCGATCATTCGGCTCGAGTTCTATTACAGAAACGGACTTGATCCCGCGAACGGTTATGAATAATCCCCACCGAATTCGCGACGATCGCGAGGCCGAGGCGTGTTTTGTTCGGGCCGGCGAAGACGCCGACGCCGAGGCAAGGAAGTCCGCGCGAACCAGCGAGCGAACGAGCCAGCGAGCGACTCTGAAATATTGTCGCGATTCCGATGAAACAGCAATATCGCGGAAGCCATAATAGGTCTTCGTGCTTGGCACACCTTTAAGTCCGGCCGAGATACGCGTGTTCCTTATACGCGGACATTTTAATATACCAACCTACGACACGCTGCGACCCGCTCGCTCGCTCGCCCCGAGAATTTCTACCTTGCTCCGCAACTTTTCCGCCCGCTGATTTAAAACCGGACCCCCGGCGCGCAATCTGCTCGAATCCCGGGCAGAAAAACTTGATCTTTCGGCTCGGCGCTCGCTAATTCACGCGAACGATCGATCCGAGATTCCTCGGTAATTTCCAACCCAGATTCAGCTCGGTTTCCGACGGCCGTAATTTTTGAGAGTTTACGCGACGCGGTTCCGATTCGTCGAGAACTTTTGCTCGTTCTGTCTTCGATTCGTCGTTGCCTGTTTCCGGATGGGATCGACTCGATGCAAATTCGTTCGGATTTCACTCTCGCGGAATTTGGATTTTGCCTCCGCGATCTTTGAAAGCCTTCGAGTGCCCTCGAAATCTTGTGGTCATCGTTCGGTCGAGTTGCGCGTGTTTTCAAGTGGCGATAAAAATGTGTTGACTCTCGAATGATAATACTGGATGACGAACAGCGATAGGAAACGGTTCCTCGGAGGATCTCTCTGTTTATCCGACCAAGTGGCTCGAGCCGTTCGCTGTCAAACGTGCCGTGGCGCCTTATAGCGCCGTGAAACCTGCCAAGCCGATAATCCATAACAAGACTTTCAAGAATTCTCTTCCAATTTCTTCCTGTCCGCCGTTGATCTCGACATTATCGAAATTATCGGCCCCATTCCGCAGCCGGGCCATCATTTTACCTATCTGACCGCGATCTATCCCTCGCTCATGTCATCGTAAACTGTAACTGATATGCCTGTCTGATCGTTGACTCGATCTACTTGTTTCGTCGCACACTGACTTCATGTACTGACCGTGTAACTCCATTGTACGACCATGCTACTAACCTAGTCATCGACTACAATCTTTTACAATTTATTTGTCTCGCGTTTCCTATTTTATTTGTCCGGACATGGTAGTCTTGTTCTACTTGCGTCGGTTCTATGTCCGTTCTGTTTTACTTTGTTCGATAATTCAGAAATGATAAACAGCTGCCTCAACTCCATTAATGATGAAGTCTGCCTCAACTTATGTATCCGACTGTACAAACTGATTATTTTGATTACAGAGTTCTCAGTCTACTTGTCCAACCATTATTGACCACAATTTATTTGTCGATTGTTGCAGTGAACTATCTATCTATATGATTTTAGTATTACGTAATTATATGTATTATATATTTCAGTCTGATTTCATCTGCCCTACTGCAAACACTGTGCATATATTTTGACCGTAGACACTGTACCAGTTAAATGGTCTTAACTAACATTTCCAATCGTTCAAAAAATCAAGCTTTAAATTAATAATTTCGTTTTTAAATGAACGATAACAAATGAATTATAGCAAGAGGACTTACATTTGGAACTGTACGAAGTGCATTGGACATTGCAGCTTTGTTTAAAAGGTAGAAGGTAAAATATTTAGATATATAATCTATAACATCTATAAATATTTAGAGATGTTCCAAATATTTTAAAATATCCTGAAAAGTAGCAAATTAGTAGACATGATATTTTAACTGAAAACGGCAGTACACTTGCCTAATCATATCACTCGTAACTGGACCGCGGCTTACATGCATTTCTGCCAAAAATGAATACGTCAAATACACTGAAACGACATTCAAAGAATCTAAGGATATTGTTACATTATTTTCAACCAATTACGATTGATAAAAGAGAAAGGACATTTCCATCGAATTTACATCTCTTATAATTAACTTGGATAATTTTTATTTCATATATAGATCCACTGTCTACTAATAATCCATCCTAATCTACTTATCCGTCTACAGACACAGTCCCAGCTTTTTCCCGGTCACAAACCACATTTTCTTGAATCGTCTGCCTCACGTATATACTCAAATAAATGTATACAACCAACTTGTCCTCTGTTGCACTCTATTTTAACTGATCCAATAAACTCGTAAACATTGACGAAATAGAATACAGTAAATTCTCCCCAATTTTTCTTCAGCTTGTAAACAAAATTGAGCAATCTGGGAAATGGATTATTCAAGTCAATTCATTCGAGAGAATGTTACAGTAAAGAGTAAGTAGGTGGGGAATAAATTCATCCCAATTGTCTTTCAGCTTGTAAACTAAAATAGACCATATGGGAAGAGCAGATACGATTATTGAAGTCTCGCGGCTCATTTTTATAGCTTCCGATTGTCAACAATCCTAAAAACGAGGTGCAAGGCTCGAATAATCGTATCTCCTCTTACCATATCGTCTCTATGTTTGTTTACAAGCTGAAGGAGAATTTCGGAGAATTTTCTGTACTCGGTTCCCAGGAATTCACCGCAGCGAATTCGGTTCGCCGTCACTTCGGAACGCTGCGAATAAATAATAAACATGTTTCGACTGACAAACGAGACACCATCGATTCTCGCAGTCGCCGTTGCACAGTTCGGAGACTTTATCGATCGCTAAAAAGAAAATCCGCGAAAATCAGCGAAGTGCTGGTGTCGCATACGGAGCAAGGAACGACAAAATCGGGGAAGGGTATCCGACGAGGGTCGCGACCGCCGGAAATCCTGGGCCGTGCCAGTTAAATTTTCAGGGGTCGCTTAACCGACGGAAAACATTCCGGTGTCTCGGTGCGCTGGGCAAGACAGTCGCGCGAGTAATTAGTGGGTGTCGACCGAGGATGGTGGGTTCGAGACGTGCGATGAGTTCTGTGTAGCGTCGGACGCAACGGAGAGACTGTCCTCTCTCTTTCTTTCCCGCTCTCTCTCTTTCTTTTTTTCTCTATATGTGATGTTCAGAGGGTTCCATCTTTGGTGCGTTACCTTTCGATCTTCGGAAAAAACCGGTACCCGCGTTTTCTCGCCGAAAGTCGAAACGTACTGGACGATAGGCTATCGACCTTAATATGCCAGGCTTCGACCTCCGTGGAGAGTACCGGTTCGCATATTTCCTCGCTGAAACTCGACACAGTCGCGGGTGATGCTGGGCCAGGTTTCGATCGCCGCCGTTTTGCAACTGAACGAATCGAGGGCCCGATTTTCTCCTCTCGAGCCGACTCTAGATCCGAACTCTCGATCACTCTGGATCTTTCACCGACGCGCTCGGTGTCGCGTCGATCACACATGGGTGACAATAATTTTTTACTAGGATTTACTGGGCCCAGAAACATTCACTAGGATTTTTATAATGCAGAAGAGTCGAGCTTATAATCACTGCGCTAAATTTTAACTCTTTAGTTTCGGTTTCTCTAATTTAACCAGTCAGCTGTTTCTGACGAGTATGCTCGTGAAGAAGACACGACAATGTTTTGCGCCACGACGAGTATACTCGTCATTCGTAAAAATTCGTCGTTTAAATTGCAATTCTAGAGGCAACAAAGGTATATTCGTAAATTTTAAGGTATTTGTGGTATTTGAAGGCCAAGACGATATAAGACGAGCAGATAAAAAGATATACATTGCTGTTACGACAAAACTGCGTATTTTTTATGTTATTATATTTATTCACTATTATTATGACAAAACTGTGTATAATGCCTGAATTAGTGCTAGCCATCGCTTACTTTTTGCGACAGATTTTAGGCACACACTTTTCGAAGCGGTCGCAACAGCTGACTGGTTAAGCGACTTTGACGATGTGGACATTTTTAGGGTCAAAGTTCGATACTGAATACGTTGACAGCTGTGTCCAATGGCACAGCTAACGTATTCAGCTAACGTCAAAGAATCTCCGAAAGGAATGCCTTTTCTCGCGCGGACAATGAATCGAACGAAATAACGGGTCGATAATGATTAGAGTCGAGTCGAAAGGTGGTCCAGAGAAGCGCGAAAGGTTCGTCCACCTTGCAAGACAGCGAGGATCTCCTCGATCGAGATGTCGAGAGTTATAGAAGGAAGGCTCGAGAGCTCTCCTCGTGACGACTGTAGCCAGAAGGGAAAAATCTGATCGACCGACGATCTACGGCGACGTTCGAGGAAGCTCTCCGCCTTCGATCGATGCTAATCTCGAGTGTTCCGGCTCGCTCGCGGCTGTTTAGCTTTGAAACATGCTCGCCTACTCACGGAAAGTGTAGGGCCGCCATGTCAAAGAGCGTGTACAGGTAGCAGCATAGGATCACCAGAGAGTGTCTCGTCATTCCTGGAACAGAGAAGTCGAGGTTGTTTTAATTCCATTCATTGTCCGGATTAATCGACTAACATTTTGCTAAAATCAACGGGATTGAAGTCGCTGTTTCTGTTAACGAGACTTTGTCTCTGCTTTTAAAGATGATAGTTATTCTTGATGATTCATAGATTTCTTTCTATTTTCGCAACTAACGCATCGATGGCAAAGCTGTCAAAGTGCCTGGATAATTTGCACTGCATTTACGTTTTATAAAATCACTTTGAAGCGATCGGAAGTACAGTTATTGTTTCTCCAATTGACGCACAGATTGTCCACAGAAATGGATAAATTGGAAAAAGGAGGTATGATTTAATTTGAGTCTTGCATCTCATTTTCATAATTACCGATTCTCAACAACTATAAAAACGAGGCGCAAGGCTCGAATAATCGTGTCTCCTCTTCCCAAATTGTCCATTTTTGTGGACAATCTAAGCGTCAGTTAGGGAGACATTATTGTATCCTGTCACTATCGAAATGGATTCTCTTGTCTCTTGTTTTCGTACGAACGCAGCAAATTCTCTCTAATTGACGCTTAGATTGTGCAAAAAAATTTGAGAAAAGGAAACAGGATTACTCGAGCCTTGCGGCTCGTGTTTATAGTCAACAAATTGTCAACAATTATAAAAACGAGCCGCCTATTCCAAAATTCTCCATTTCTATGTACAATCCTTGGGTCAACTAGGGAGAATTTACTGCAATTCCTTCGGAATCGATAATCGAAGTCAAGAAAAGTCTTGCAAAATCTTCGACGGCGAATAATTTCCTAATTTTGCGAAACGAGTGCAGCCAGATCCGTGGATCAGAATTTATGTACAGATTTCCGNAACATTTTGCTAAAATCAACGGGATTGAAGTCGCTGTTTCTGTTAACGAGACTTTGTCTCTGCTTTTAAAGATGATAGTTATTCTTGATGATTCATAGATTTCTTTCTATTTTCGCAACTAACGCATCGATGGCAAAGCTGTCAAAGTGCCTGGATAATTTGCACTGCATTTACGTTTTATAAAATCACTTTGAAGCGATCGGAAGTACAGTTATTGTTTCTCCAATTGACGCACAGATTGTCCACAGAAATGGATAAATTGGAAAAAGGAGGTATGATTTAATTTGAGTCTTGCATCTCATTTTCATAATTACCGATTCTCAACAACTATAAAAACGAGGCGCAAGGCTCGAATAATCGTGTCTCCTCTTCCCAAATTGTCCATTTTTGTGGACAATCTAAGCGTCAGTTAGGGAGACATTATTGTATCCTGTCACTATCGAAATGGATTCTCTTGTCTCTTGTTTTCGTACGAACGCAGCAAATTCTCTCTAATTGACGCTTAGATTGTGCAAAAAAATTTGAGAAAAGGAAACAGGATTACTCGAGCCTTGCGGCTCGTGTTTATAGTCAACAAATTGTCAACAATTATAAAAACGAGCCGCCTATTCCAAAATTCTCCATTTCTATGTACAATCCTTGGGTCAACTAGGGAGAATTTACTGCAATTCCTTCGGAATCGATAATCGAAGTCAAGAAAAGTCTTGCAAAATCTTCGACGGCGAATAATTTCCTAATTTTGCGAAACGAGTGCAGCCAGATCCGTGGATCAGAATTTATGTACAGATTTCCGAGGATGTTGGGGCGCCCGCTACGACTCCAAAAATATTTTCTCCGGGACTGAAGGATCGCGCAATCTCGCCGACCGTCGGAACTTCGGGGGAAAAGATAAATTTCCGAGCGGATCGAGGAAGCTCCACGACGCGAAACGAAGATTCCGTGGAGAGACTCGTGTCCACGCGATTCTATCAGCGCCGTTCGGCGAATCAGGTCGACGAGCAGTTGCGACCGATCTCTCGCGAGTTCAATTTTTTCTCTAGCTCCCCCGGTATCGGTATTTCCATGCTTTTACTGTCGGGATCTAGATGCCTCCCGAGATTTCACGTGTCGTTGGCGCGGAACGCGTTGCAACGTCTCCGATGAAATTTAACAGTCGGTAAATTTGATCGGATAAATACAGCGGCGTATAAAGACCGAGTTAGCCTCATCACGCGATGGGCGGTTCGGAAAATTCATTTCGTTTTACGTCGCGATATAATGGCCCCGCTCTTCCACGCTGGTAATTAACCCAATTCTATCGAGCGTCTTCGCGCAACTGCTACCGATACGAAAATTCATAGAATTAGTTTCCCGGTGTGCATCGTCCGTCGATCTATCCTAATTAGACTACGGATTTCAGGCGTTTATAAGAAAAATTGGCGGGCGAAATTTCTAACGTGGTTAATAGCGAAAGCATCTAAGAACGTCTCTCTGTTATTTTCAGCTCGATGCGATTATTAAAAGAGAAAAGAAATCTCTTTTCGAGTGGTATTTGCTGCAATTGTTGTAGATCATTTTCATTGGCGGCTAATTATTTCGCCGGCCGATTATAATTTCCCAAATTTCTTAAGATTCGCAAAACGTAAGAACATTGAATACGTAATTGGCGTCATATAACTTCGCTCTACAATCTTAAAAGATACAATTAGATAAAATACATTAATTTTATTAGATCATTGAGATCGTTAGCGGAGCAGTTAAAGTGTTAAACGTTCGTTTTTATCCTTTTTCTAGATAGCGTGTTCGGATAGTACGTTCTAATATACTGCAAAAACGCGGGTGAAATAATATTATACTGTATACTTCCAAGTACAGTAAATTCTCTCTAATAGACGTTCAGCTTGTAAACAAAGATGGACAATTCAAAAGAAACAGAAGACAGCATGATTTTATAGTTGTTGACAATCGGTAACTATACACACGAGCCGCGTGGCTCGAATAATCGTATCTCTTCTTCCGGAATTGTCCATTTTTGTGTACAAGCTGCGGACCAATTAGGGAGAATTTGCTGTAAATAGTAAAACGGTAACGGGTGAAACACGTCGATCGCGTTCAAAAAATCGTAGCTGAGAAATTGAACGTCGCGTAATTAAATTAACGTCGCCGGACGAGGATCCGAATGGCCGATAAAAAGATAGTACATATTTTTTGAGTTGGTTTGAAGCGGTCCCAGGGTTTGTACGACGGGTTGTCCGAGTTGCTCTCACTCTTTCTCTCTCTCTCTCTTTCTCTCTGTCTCTCTGTCTCTCTCGCTCTTTCTCGCTCTTTCTGGCCGGCTCGGTCGATGGAGCCGCGGACAAGTTTCTTTCTAGAATAGCGTGCGCTTTTATTGGACTGGATATATCGCGGATGCCTGGACGCCGAGGGGGCGCGAAGCGAAGCCTGTGATAGGCCGATCGGTGCGCGATAAGGGCTGCGGATCGCTGTGGAAAACGTAATTCCCGTGATTCACCGAGAACCCTCGACGAATTCGGTTAGCCGGCGGCCCGAGACAGCACACGTCCCGGCCAGCTACGAAAATGGAAATTAACGCGACCATTGTCCCTCGACAGGGCGTATATGGGTCACGATTATTCTCGCCGGAAAGTCCGGGAGCGGTTCCTCTACTCCAGAATAATAAATACCGTGTGTATAATTAACCTGGAAGCCATTTTGAGGCCGACCAAACGATACACCGTTTCCCTCCTCCGGGGCTCTCGGTCGTCTCGAGCTCGAATACATCCCAGACTCTTCGTTTCACAACTATCCGTACTATACAGCCGCTTACGCGAAGAACCGGTTTGTGTATTTAACCTCGACGTTAATTTCCTAATTCTACGATGTCTCTCTCTCTCTAAACGCGGTCTCGCTATCTTCGGAGAACAAACCAGTTGCAGAAGCAAAAAATAAAAAGGAAGTAACGAGATGCTCTTTCGATACGCGCGTATACACGAAGACTCTTCGAAACGCGGCGCAGCACGACTCTCTGAGAGTATTCAGTTTCGGCGACGCACCAGGCCACAGAGGAATTCTCTCACAATCGGAGGCTAGATTAAAATCCGTCTGAAGCAGAGACGAAGCTCGAGCGGCAAGCTCCTTCGACTGTTCCCTCCTCAACGAAGCACCGGATTAAGATCGTGCAGAAATCTACGAGGGCCCGTGCCGCGTTCTATTCATGCGTTTCCTAAACCGAATCTGCTCGAGCGACGGACGAAAGCATAGAGGCGACGGACGACACCGATCTGCGAAGCTGTGCGTTAGCCGCGACCGTTCCGTAGCAACGGCGAAATCCGGAAGCAACGAGTTTGTAGCAGCGAGTTTCGACTCACCGATCAGCTGCACATTCTACCGTGGCGATCCTCTTTGTCCGACCCAGCACTCTCCACCGGCTGGCTCCTCTCTCGGCTGGATTTCCTTATCACGATCGTCGTCGCGGCCGGCTTATCAAGCCACGAGCCACGTTCGCCGGACGGTCCCTCGAATATCCATCAAAGTGCTCGTTCCGATCTGGGCGGTCGGTCTCGATCGGCGACCGATCATCGGTTCCCGAGCGGCGCAGCCCGTGACCGATATATTTTCTCGGCTTGCTCTGTCTCCGGCGAGCAAAACCAGGCGGCCCGTGAACGATCGATTCCACGACACGGGGACCGTTTTCGACGGCCGGCGCTGCCGACCCGTTCGAATATGCGCCGCGGCGCGTTCCGTCGTTCACTTCCGGCGCGTGCGGCACAGAGGAGCCGTGTTTTTCTTTCTCTTTTCTTTTCTTTTTCTTTTTGTTTGTTTCGGGCCCGCGATATTTCCAGCTCGATCGGAGAAACCCCTGGAAGAGGATCGGGGACGCGCGACTCGCCGGTAACAGGCGAAGGGTTGATTCGCCGCTAGGCCACTGGCCACTGACGGGGCTTGCTGGTTCTGTAAACCACCCATCGGTCGCTGCCTCTAAGCCAATTTGCCTATCGACTAACTGATTAAGCCCTACTTTCTTCTTTCATCGTGGTGTGGACGTGCACGTAGCGATGGGTACGATGCGTCTCGATCGGTATCGATCCCGAGCGACGACCAGCACCAGTTCATGTCGAAGCTGCGTGCAGATGCCGCGAGAAATACCCTCGCTTTTCGACTGATTTTATACAATCGACCAAGGTTGTTGCATCACCCGGCTCTCGAGGCTCTCTCGTTTCCGCCGTTGGATCGCCGTTGGCTCGACCGCGGATCCGCTTGTTCTACCGGGTCCGACTACAGGCGAGCTTATTCTACTACGGTTGCCGGGTACCGTCGTTGTTCTACTTGCGCGGCCGTCGGATACTTGCGTTCTACTCGACTCACTGCCAGGCTGCTCTAATTTCTGAGGACTGTTCAGGCTCTGACTGTGTTCTACTCGTCCGACCGCAAAGAACCGACGTCTTTCGCCGGATTCGTTGCAGTGGCCAGGCCAGCAGGCTGTGCCGAATCACTCGATGATCCGTATCTTTCGTCACCTTCTCTGACTCCGGACGGTTCTCGTTCCATTTTTCTGATTCGTTTGTCTGGTCCATCGTGATGATCCGTTAAAGTAACCTCGATGATCCATCTAAATACAGCAATGATCATTTGAATGAATTTTATTACTAAGTCTAGCTTATTTAGGGTATTTCTTATTAATTCTAGCTACTAATTCTAGTTACCGATTTTCTATACTCCACTTGTTTAGCCACGGACGGTCCTAATTCTAATTATCTATTCAAGGATCGTCTTTTTTTCGTTAGCCTGAATTTAGCCTCTTATTCTACTTACCTCTGGCTTTGTTATTTATTAATCGCTGCTATTTATTGTCTTGCTTTATTGTTCTATTTACCCTATAATGTGGTTAAATTAAATTAATGTGTGGCTAATTCTAATTATCTGATCAAGGATCGTCTTTTTTTCGTTAGCCTGAATTTAGCCTCTTATTCTACTTACCTCTGGCTTTGTTATTTATTAATCGCTGCTATTTATTGTCTTGCTTTATTGTTCTATTTACCCTATAATGTGGTTAAATTAAATTAATGTGTGGCTAATTCTAATTATCTGATCAAGGATCGTCTTTTTTTCGTTAGCCTGAATTTAGCCTCTTATTCTACTTACCTCTGGCTTTGTTACTTATTAATCGCTGCTATTTATTGTCTGGCTTTATTATTCTATTTACCCTATAATGTGGTTAATTTTAGGGTTAAACCATCCTATAAGTGGTTGTACTCTATACAACCACTTTTCTGACATTGTACTGCTATCACTGTACTTATCCGAGACGTTATCGATCTACACGTTCGATCATTCTCATTATACTTAGCTAAACATACACTGTTCGAAATCATTTGCCTCACCACGTACGCTTCATCGATTATAAATAATCGTAATCTGCTTGTCCATCTACCGATTACAAACAACATTCGTCTATTTGTCTATTCACCGATTACAAAGAATCCTTATCAGTTGGTCCATCTATCAATCGCAAATGAACCTAACGTATCTTTCCACCTGTCCGTTAGAAATAATCGAAATGTAATTTCCTAAAATTTTCGCAATCCGTTTCTCCATCTATCGATTACTAGAAATCCGAATCAGTTGGTCCATCCGGCGATTACAAATAATCCGAGCCCATCCTCCCATCTATTGTTTACGTGTCAGTTTCCGTGTCGGACCATTGCCCGTCTCGATCTACTTAGAACGTATCAAGTTTCTCGAAACCAACTTCAATTTAGAAAATCGCTCGAAGAGGGAATTCCACATCGCGGGTAATTGTTATTGTTTATTAACACGTGCGTTGATCACTGAGCACGTTTATCGTTAAGATAGTTTAGAGCTAAATTAACGTATTTTATTAACGTAATTTTACTATTTATTTCGTTACTCGTCTTTTCGGCATTTTCACATGCATAGATCACATTTTTAACCCTTTCATGGGTTAAAATGTGATGACACGATAGAATGTGAATTTTCAGGATGGCAGCACGTTTCAACGATGGGAATATTTGTGCCTGAGTAGGGCACGCTAAATAGAATATATAAGTATAATATTGTTGCGAATCGCTCCGTTTCTCTCGCGTCAAGGCATTTTATTTAAAATAAAGGATATAAACTATAATATAACTCGATACAATTATATTCCAGACCTTTCAATTTGAAATGTTGCTCGTTCGACGGTCCGATCTCGACTCCTCGATTGTCTACTGGTAACACTCTTCCGTGACAACCCCTATCTTCCATTATTTTTTTAACCCATTGACTGCCACGCAAATTTAGCGCGTCTTGCCCTGGGTGCCACGGTTTTATTTGAAAGAAAACACGAAATTTTACAAAGTATAACAATATTAAGTTACTGATATAATATTGCAATGGCATTTACAGTATTTTTTTATCGATAATCGATATGTTCTCTACACTATATACATTTTTTATTCATCCTTTCTAATAGTTCCTAACTCAAATAGCCATTTGTAGCCAATCTAAACTTGCAGCACCCACTACGAGATATCTCGTAGCTGGCAGTTTTGGTACAGACGCTTACTGCGAGATATCACGTAGTTAGCAGTCAATGGGTTAAGGAGTTGCTCACAACAGGACAGTTTCACATTACAGCGACTTGATTCGGACAAGTCGCAGTAACAATATATTAGCAATATATTATTGGGTTGGCAACTAAGTAATTGTCGATTTGTTCAATGAAATAAAAAATCTTTTTTCACTTGGAATGAAGTTTAATCTGTAATGTATTTTCCATTTTGTTCGATGACCTTTTGCCATCTCTCCGACAACTTGAAAATTCCACGCTCGTAGAAAGTCTGATCCTTTTCGGCCAAAAACTGAGTTAAGTGAGATTTTACAGCGTCATCGTCGTTAAAAGTTTTACCACGAAGGAAGTTGTCCAGGGATCGAAATAAGTGGTAATCCGATGGCGCGAGATCAGGGCTATATGGTG